TTGCACTTTATCCTTATTCACTTCAATGCCTCTTTCCGTTACAATATAGCCCAGGAATCGTCCTGCTTTCACTCCGAAGGCGCATTTACTCGGATTCAGCTTCATCCCAAACGTTCTCAGTATCGTAAACGCTTCCCTTAAGTCTTCCACATGCTGGATTGAGGACCTACTTTTCACCAAAATATCCTCCACGTAAACTTCCATATTTCGCCCGATCTGTGATTTGAACATTCGATCCATCAACCTTTGGTATGTTGCCCCTGCGTTCTTGAGTCCGAAAGGCATAACGACATAACAATACGTCCCTTTGCTCGTCACGAAGCTAACTTTGCTTTGATCCTCAGGCGCCAAGGGAATTTGGTGGTACCCCTGGGACGCGTCCATCATGCTTAGCAATTAACAGCCAGCAGTAGAGTCGACCAGCTGGTCAATTCTCGGCAGGGGGTAGTGGTCCTTCGGGCAAGCTAAATTTAAATCACGAAAGTCAATACACATACGCCACTTATTTAGCGCTTTCCTTACCATCACCGTGTTCGATATCCATTCTGGGAATTGAATTTCTTTGACATGTTTGGCTTTCAACAATTTGTCCACCTCGACTTCTATGGCTTTGTCGATTTCTGCGCCATGGTGTCTAAGCCGTTGCTTCACTGGCTTTTTCAGGGGGTCGACATTAAGCTTGTGCTCCATGTCATCGGGATCGATTCCTGTTAGCTCTTCAGGGGAGAAAGCGAATATGTCCCTGAATTCTTTCAGCAGCCCCACCAATTGTCGACGTAACGCTTCTTCCAGTTCTCGCCCTATTTTCGTAGTCTGCTCCTCTCTCTCCCCGATTTGAATTTCTATTAATTCCCCATGTGGCTCAAGATCACCTTCCCTTCGTCTTTTTTCAATTGACACCGACTTTTTTCCTTCCTTCACCTCCGTTCGTTGGTTTGTCCTTACTGCAATCTGGTAGCAGGTTCTTGACAGTCTCTGATCGCCTCGGGCCTCCCCCACCTTATCTCCGATAGGGAACTTTAGCTTCATATGATAGGTTGACACTACTGCTTGGAATGCGTTGAGTGCTGGCCTTCCCAGAATCACATTATAAGCCGACTCGACATCGACTACGACAAATCGCACCATTTTCACCTTCCTTAAGTCGCCTTCCCCGAGGACGACAGCGAGAGTGGTTTCCCCCAGGGGGGCGACTTCCGAGCCATTAAATCCAAAAAGTGAAGTGTGGAGAGGTGAGAGTTCAATGTCGAGTTCCATCCGTTTGAGGCAATCGAAAAATATCACATTCACCGAGCTCCCTGTGTCGACAAAGATTCTCTGGACTTCGTAGCCCGATATCAGGGCTGTGATCATCAAGGCATCGTTATGAGGTCTCTCAACCGCTCCCACGTCTGCTGGTCCGAAATTCATCACTGGACCATCCTCTTCGACCTGCTGCACTTCGGTTTTTCCGTGATGCCCTCGAGCATATGATTTTCTAGCCCGGTTTGAATCGCCATCAGTTGTCCCTCCAAATATCATATGAATTACTCCTCTTTTTTGGGGAAGCTCTTCCTTATCGGGTGTTCTTGCCCTCTTGCGAGGGCTTTTGCTTCTCTCCCTTCGTCGACTAGTTCGCTCTCGATCTTTATAAACGAACTCCTTCAGATGGCCTGCTTTGATTAGTCGCTCGATTTCATTCTTTAGGTGCCGACATTCATCGGTGTTATGGCTGTAGTCTTTGTGAAATCGACAATACAGGTTACTTTTAGGTTTTGTCAGCCCCTCTTTTCTCGTTCGTGGCCACCTGACAACGTCATCGCGGATCTCTCTTTCCATAACCTCCAATATCCTTGCATGCGAGGCCGACAGAGGGGTGTATTGGGCTGTCCTCCACCCCCTTGATCGTCCCTCTCTCTCGGCTCTTGGGGATCCTTTTCTTTCAGTTGTCGCAACAAGCTTTTTATCCTTCTTCTCGTCCTGAGGCTCAGTTTTGGCTTAGCTGCTTGCAGAAAGTCGACTTCGGCTTCCTCGACATTCATGTATTTGGCGCACCTTCCCAATACTTCATCGAACGTCCTCCCGGGCCACTTCGCTAGGGAATTTCTGCACAATCCCGGGAGTAGCCCTCGAGTGAGTCCTCCCGACTTGATCTCCTCAGTGGCCGAGGGGACGTCGACACATGCCCTTGTGTACCTCGCCACGTAGTCCCTCAACGATTCCCCTTCCTTCTGCTGCATACCTATCAGAGTAAGGTACGACTTTTCTTGGGCTTTTACACTTGCGAATTGGTTTAGGAAACTCGAGCTAAATCCATCGAAATCCCTGACGGCCCCCGGGGGCAATTGATGAAACCAATCCTGCGCGGGCCCTCGCAGGGTCGTCAGGAATGCTCGACACTGAACGGGGTCGTTTTATCGGTGCAATACTGCCATGTTTTCGAAACTTCTAAGATGTCGGGAGGGATCAGTCGACCCGTCATACCAGATATTAAGCTCCCTGAACCCTTGAGGCAAGTCGGCATCTAGAATATGTTGTGAAAAAAGGGTGTCCCCTCGAGCTTCCCGTCTTCCTTCCTTCGACCCGAGCCTGCAAGTCTCGGACCTCCGCTAACAGCTGTTCCAGCGTGTCGTTTCTGGCTTGTGGATTGACGGTTCTGACAGAGGACTCCTCCTCGTCTATCCTCCTGTTATGCCTCTCATGTGATTGTGCCTGTTGTTCGCGTTCATGAGGTTGCTGCTCATTTTGAGGTTGTTCGATCCTAGCTTGCTCGATTCGGGGTTGCTCCACCCTGGGCTGTTCGACTGGTGTTTGTTTGATTTGGGCAGCCACAGCTTCAGCAATCATCCTTTGCATCTCGCCCCGTGTTATGGTCAACATTTGCTCCTCGCCTTGGGGCGGCGGCCTCTGTCCTGGTTCGGGCGGTCCAGGCTGCTTTCCCAGACTTAGGAGTGTCTCGATTGAATCACGACCGTTAACTTCTCCGCTCGTGCTCCTCACGAGACTGGTCTCCCCTTGAGTGAGCACTGGGATCTTGACTCCTGGTGGGGTGATGGGCGTCTCTTTCCCCGTACGCCCTCCTGACGGCGCGTGTGCCCCAAACGGTGAGAAACCGAACACTTGGAGTGGCGGTCTGGGGTTGGGAATCGGCGGGGGTCGCTTGTCAGTCCACGCCGCCCTGAAATCTTCGTTCAAGTTTTTCTGCGGTCCTTCCTTGTCGGCCATCAGTAACAGATCCAAACTAGGTGTAAAGCTCTTACTTCCTTCAAGAACTCCCCACAGACGGCGCCAAAATGATGGGTCTCTTCTCAGATCTGGAACGGCCCAATGGGAAAACGTCCGGATCTGGGATGAACCGGTGTGAACGAGCTTAGATCTGATGTGATGGCATTCGAACCGTTGTTGAGCCGCAAGAACACCTGCAAGAACTCAACGCCGGAGGGGTTTCCGGCGTAGAGCCTCCGATGCTCAAGTCAGTGTGTGAAAGAGATGAAGAGAGCTGCCCTGAGAGCAGCAGCAGTAATGAAAAGAATATGGAATGAATGGGAGTTAGGGTTTTGGGATTACCTCAGTCCTTTATATAGAAGTGCAACATTTACCTGAAGTCCCCAAAGTGCCCCGGGCGACTTACTGGAAATGTCCAGAATACCCCGATCGGTTCGTATTCTGCCTACTTCCTAGTCAGCATCTAGATCCTTCCTTAGCTTCCTTCTTATCCTTAACTCTTCCTCAATACGCTGAGGTGTGTCAAAGCTATCGAGAACCACGAACCGCAAGACTCCTTCAGTCGACCCGAGATATTGAGTCGAGTCGACTGGATCGTATTCAACCGTTAGTGGACCCTGATACGTCTGACCGTTATCTTGCCAGAGGTCGACTTATTCTAGTCGGCGGGTGTACGTCGACTCGGTCGAGAGCCGGGATTCTTGACTGTGTATCGTGGAACCTTACTGGCGGAGTCGACTAAGTTGAAGTCGACTTGATAGTTTCGGACCGTGATGATATGAACCGTTATGAGCCAGTGTGGCTATATCAAATTGCACTTTAGTGTTTGACGGGCTGCAGCTTAATGTTTATCAGATTGCACTATAGCGACTGAACCCAACTTAATTATTTT